CAATTTTTCCATTCTCCCTTCACACCTCAGCCACAGCCCAAAAGAAAAAAAACAATAAATCTTCCTTTATTATCTGCGCAGCAACAGTTAACCATTTACAAAGGTGTGTTCATTCCTGATTATTTATCTTATGGCCACTTATGGTGGCATATCAACATTTTTGCTTTACTTTAACATACCCTTTTTCCAAATAAGTGTTGACTTTTCTCACTTAAATCAAATCATTCTGATGGTCCGGAAGTGAACTTTGCCGTTACACAAATAAACTTATTTTATTTCCTTTTTAGCGGACTCATTGGCCGCAGCTGGGCGATGGTGTTTGCTTCAGGAGGCTTCAAAGTGATACTGTACGATATTGTGCAACAGCAGATAACAAGTGCCCTGGAAAACATCAGGTAGGTCACCTGACTTCTTTGACTTGTGATAAGCTGGCATCACAACAGATCTTACATTCACTTTCTTAATCTGTGAGAATATTTTTAAAGAAATGGCTGAAATGAACCTCCCTTTTTAGGCTTCTATCTTTGGGATTTTCTGAAGTGTAAAGTCAGTGTAAAGTTACTAGTTGCTTTTGAAAAAACACCTTTTCGCCCTTAAAAAAGGTTTAGAAACTTAACTTTAGTCTCCTGTTGAAAACTTCAGTCACTGTCCAGCTATACATGTAGCAAATTCATAATGTAAAAAAAGAAATACAATGGAGAACTTGTTACAAAGGTAAGGTGACAACATCAACATTGAGGCTTTTGAATGGAAAGGCAGCAAAGTGTAAATACCCAATTTTCAATATGGACAGATGTTAATCAGGCAGTTTCTCAGCAGTTACTTGCAAGGATCAGTGTTCCATCTATTTATTAAAAGTCTAGAAGTGCTAACTAGTGAGACATAGGCAGACAAGGTTCCTTGGGTGAATTTGATATCTTTTATTAGACCAACCCAAATAGTTGGAGAATATGTATTAAGCTTAATAACTATTCTCCAACTATTTGGGTTGGTCTAATAAAAGATATCAAATTCACCCAAGGCACCTTGTCTGCCTATGTCCTTAGACCAACACGGCTACAACCTACACCCCTGCAACTAGTGAGACAGGAATTCTTACTAATGATGTAATTTACTGGCTGGTTATGATGAGAATTTTAAAACCTCAAGAAAGATGTTTTAAAGAGGCTAGTCATAATTTAGTCTTTATACCAGTGGAGGCATAACTAAAACTTTACACACACACGTTGTCACATTGGAGCTATGCAGACCTTAATTCTGTGTGCTTTGCTTATCACAGGGCACGTCTACAAAAGACGTTACTGCACGTTTATTTAGTACTTGCTTATACAAGAACTAAATAAATACACAGTAGCTGGAGTTACTGAGCAATAGCACCAGCAAATATTTTTTAAGTGACGCTACTGCACAGTAGCCTAATAATACTGCGCAGTAGTGTATTAGTATTGTTAGTGCTGTGATGTGCTACTGCGCAGTATTATTAGGCTACTGTGCAGTCAGCATCTTGTGTAGATGCACCGACAGAAACCATGAGCCAGATATTCCACCTCAAGATAACAAGCAGTTCCTTCCATGGTGAAGTGTAGGCTGAGCTGACACAGCTGGCATATGTGGGAAAAGTAAGTAGTCCTCAAAAAGGGTTGTAGCTGAATACTCCTCAGGCAGCCCAGTATGAACAGGGTCCACAACAGAGAAAATGTGTTCGGTGACTCCTCTGAGGCCAGAGCTGTTGCAGATTCTTTTACTCTGTGCTTTTTAGGACATGCCTGTCTATCACAGAGACCTAACTGGCTAGTACTGTGCCTGGGGTTGCAGTGGCATATGGTGTGGGCAGTGATCAGAGGTTTGCTTCTGCTAGGGGACATGTTGCCTCTCTTTGCTGTCGATGTGCATGTTGAGCGGACAAAAAGCCCACTCTTAGTGAGGTTTGTGATGTAGCTTCACACTTGCTGGTGAGACCATATATTCTGCAATCATTAGAGGTGGACCAGTACATCGGTCCAATTTTGGATCAGCACTGATATAAAGAAAATTGACTGTATCGGAAATTGGCCTGATGTGGCCGATTAATTTGGCTGATAAATGCCCGTGCATGCACACAGCTGCAGTGAAACATGTAGGCAGCAAGGAGCACAGCCCAGCAGCTTGATGAGCTGTGTCCAGCTGGTAAGTCCGTTATGGTGGAAGAGGAGGGGGGAGGGAAGGGGTGTGGGGGGAAAGATCACAGTACCTGCTATGAGGGAGTGGAGCTGGGGCTGGGGCAGGTGCTGATCAGCTGGAGCTGCAGCTTGTCTGGGGGGCGTGGGGAAGGAGGGTGGCTCCCGCCGCTCTGTGCACCCCAGGAGGGCATGGGAGGGGGTAGCGTGTGCCCCTGGATCTGCTTGGGGCGTGGGGGTGGGCTGCCACTGGAGGCAGCTGCCACTGGGGCCGGGACTCTTCCCAGCGTGTGGAGATTGGGCTGGAGCTGCGCTCGGGGCAGGTGGCGGTGGCACTGGGAGGGGAGACTATCCAGGGGGCTATGGCAAGTTTTGCCCCCCGTAGCCCTGCTTCCCAGTGCTGGTGCTGCCCACCCAGCCCCTGCCAGGAAGGGCCTGGCGCAACCCTAGCCCCAGCCCAGACCCGCAGCCCAACCCACCCTGTGCAGTTCTGGGGTTACACACCCCCTCCTGTGCTCTCCTGGGGTGCACGTAGCAGCGGGGGCTACTCCTCCCCACCCCGCGCCCCCCGGACAAGTTGTGGCTCCGTCCGGCACCCTGCCCTGCCTCAGCTGGGCAAGTGCCTGCCCTAGCCCCACTCCTCCCTCACCTCAGGGGCCTTGATCTGCATCCCCCTTTCCCTTCCACCACAACTGACCTACCAGCTAGACGCAGCTCTTCAAGCTTCAGGGCTGTGTATTGGAAATTGGATCCATATCGGCCAATATGCCTCCTTAAAAATTGGCAATCAGTATCAGCCCCCAAAATCTCTATCGATGCACTCCTAGTTACCATAACTATTTCATGGCTTCTTGCAGCACTGTTTGATGCTATGGACGAGGCTGGAGCTATTTCTTCATCCCTTCCCTGTCTCTCTTTGTCATCTCTGTGGCAATATCTACCTCAGATTTCTCCTGCTTCCCCATTGGCCATTTGGAGCAATGAGGAGGGAACCTAGCATTTCTGATCCTTTTTATTTGATTTTATTTTCTTTGTCTGTGCTCCCATGTGGTTCAGTGTCTCTTAGTTAGAACTCTTCCTTCTACAGAATTGTTAGGCTGAGTGAGTGGCATGTTTACAAAACCAAGCAACATCCGTTTTTAGAGCTGCAGAATCCCAGCTCATGGAATTAGGGTCACAAGTTTGGGACCTGTGGTATCTGTCATTTACCTACAGGACCTAGAGGTAATGGGCTATCTACAGGACCATCAGAAAAAGCAGGAGTGATGTGCTGACCACACCGACTTCCTTGACTTTAATGGAGTCAGGACTTCTCACAAGGACTTCAGGGTCAGAAATGAGAAGCTTATAGGATGAATGACAGAGAAGACGAGTTAGGGGTGTGTGTGTGTGTGCTTGTGTGCATGTGTTTGGGTTTTTTTAAGTCCCTTTCCTGTAAGACTTGGTCTTCAAGGCACTCTGACATGAAAGGCAACACCGTTCAAAACGCTATTTTGTATATAACCTGTACATATATAATTAGAACTTATGAAACCACCTGGTGTAGCATATTTTTAATCAAAGCAAATAGCTTAATGAGTTACAGGTAAGCACTATGTAGTTAGGATGGAGAACAAGTAATACAGGTATGTCAGCTGGCAGGTTTCCTGATTAAAATGTGCATTTTTAGCATAATAGCTCTTACTGTGTTGAGTTTATAGAAGACTCCCTGCTGTAAATCATGCTGAGTTACTGATGTGGCTTATCTTGTATAGCAAGGTCATCAAACCCACCTTTGGACCTGGAAGGGATCTGGACCTTGGGGCTTCTTGCTGGCTGGATCCAACCTGGGGCATGAAAGTTGTTGCAGTGGACACAGCAGCAGTGTGGGGTCCCACAGTATCAGCCATGCGGGGTCCAGCTGTGGCCAGAATGCAGGGTCCCATGGGGGCAGTGGAGGGTCTGGTTATGGGGGCACTGTAGGGTCCAGCAGCAGATGGAGCACAGGGTCTGGTGGGGACACAGTGGAGGATCCAGCAGGAGTGGGGGCAAAAGGAGCTCGGTGTCTGGTGGGGATAGAGGCATACAGTGCAGGATCTGATGGCAGTGGAGGCCAGTGCAGTGTCCGGCAGGGGTGGGAGTGGCAGAGTCTAGCATAGCAAGCTTGGCTTACTGCTGATAGCTATACCCAGTGGTGTCAAAGAGTCCAACTTTTGGTGTCTTCTAGTAGCCTATGGGCTGGATAGAGAGGCTCCATGACCCAAATTTAACCTGCAAGCTATATGGTTGACAGCCCTGCTGTACATCTATAGACCAGAGGCATTTCTGAGACTAGTTAAACTCAGGACACCTCTCCACAACTTTTGAATTTGGTGGTACCCCTAACGAGAACCACTGTGGTGCTGCCTCAGCTTATCTCAGTGTTTCGCAACAGGGGTGGTGCTGCTGTCACTGCCTCAGACAGGGTGCCCCATGTGCCTTGCGCACAGCCTGACCAGAAAAGACTGTAACGTACATATACTCCTCATATGTTACCTCATAAGCTGAAAGCTGGAAGAAACACCTGCTCTTGCCTCAGCCCTTCTTGGTCCAGTTTGGGAGATGCCATGCAGGGTTGGACTGGGAAGGGCCAAGACAAAGCAGTCCAAAGAGAAACACCTGCTCTTAGGCTGATCAGATAACCCTAATGGAGGCAGAAGCATGTGTGTACCACAGCCCTTCCTCGTCTGACTACATCGTATATGTGGGGAACTTTTACTTGGGTGTGGCAGTGGTACCCATGCCACAGCACCTTTGAAAGGTTCTTGTAGTGCCTGTCACCCTTGTTGAGAATCACTAAACTATCTCTGTTTTTGGATGCAGATGTAGGGCTTGATCCTCTCGCTGCATGATAGTTCCCCCAAGGAAGAAAGGAAAGGAGCAGCTGTTATATGCGTTTCCTGCAAAACACAGATGCCTACTTCTGCTTTATAAAACTAGTGCTATTAGATCTCCTTATCTCCCTTTATGATCGTTTAGAAAAAAACCCCATTGGGACGATACTAGGATTTAACATTTTACATGGACTTGTTCCACTATAGCCATTGTATCAAACATCTATTCATCCATGTGCCAGTAAATTAATGTATGTAACTGCTTAAAAACAATTGGAAGAAATTTGAATGTATTGGAAAAATAGAGTTCCCAGATCATCCCTTTTACCATGGGCCAGTGGTTTTTAAGGAATGACTTCAGCTGCCAAATTATTTTTGAAAGGGGGAGGTATTATTAATCATTACTTAATTTTTAGTATGATTAGAGGGGAAACTGAGAGAACTAGGTTGAAAACGCTTCAGGGATTTCACAAATCTTCCATAACTGAGTTTAGTTCCATGTATGTATGTGCAAAATAGACATTTCCATCTTGGTTGTCTGTGATGGCAGAGGAGATTGAAGGGAAAGTAGGATATCAATAAAGTTGACTCAGTAACAGTATTAGTAACTGAAATTTTAAAATACTGTACTGGTATACCTTGTGGGAAGTGGTTTGAATAACAGATTACTTGTATGCCAAGAAATAATTGATAGAATCATGGAACCTGAGGCTACAGTAAGAAGTGTTGAAACTTGGTGGTGTTAGTGGAGAGAACACATGCAGCAGACCCCAAAAACAGGGATAAGTTTACTAAAACATAACTATGCATGACAGATTTTCTACCCATCTAACTGTTGACAAGCACAGGGAAGTTAAAGCCCTGACACAGCAAGTGGGAAGTGGAGGGACGCTTTAAAAACAACATGCACCCAGTTAGAACTAATACTAGGAGCTGTCTTATTGAGGACTTGCTATGATAGGACAACCTAGAACTGCTCTGTTGATGGGAATTAATGAACAGTTCTAAAGCATAGTGCTTGCTAAAGTCTCCTGAACTCTGTATTAAGTTGAACTTTTTGCCATTCATTAAATTCCTTTCCTGCAAGTAATAGCCTTTTTGGTTTATGAGTACAGTATGCTAAAGTTTAAAGATAGGGGAGTTAGAAGAACAAATAAGTACCTTTTTCCTGATTTAATCCTACAACTTGCTTGTGCTGACATGCATTTCCCCAACTCACCCTTAGGTCACTGATTCATGTGTTCTATACAAAAAATTTTGTTTTACATTATTGGAAAAAATGAATTGTGTGGGGGAAATAGGTACACTGTTTTAAGAAGCTGTCTGAAATAAAAATATAGGCATAATGATCTGTGTTCTTGCAGAAGGGAACTCTCCTAATGTGGCCAACTCTTGCAAAATTGTACTCTGACTGCTTCTTAATGATATAGAGGCAAGATAAAGTAATAGATATACAACCAATTCCTATTCGTCTAATTCCTTGATATTAGTGTCCAGACAAATTTGATCAATTTTATCATCACTCAAGATACTACTGCAGTTTTGTTGTACTTATTTTATGCTTTTGATTTTCTTTGAAAAGCATTGACAAAATAAAAAATGTTTCCTTGTATTTGTTCCTTTCCCCCCACTCCTTCCTCCATTCTCCAAATCCAAATAAGTAGAGAGCTTTCTGAGATCCCATAGCAAACATAGTTTGCTCTCCAGGGCTGTTCCTTTGACTTCCTCCAGTCCTCTAAATCCTTGAAGGGGCATGACACTGAGAAATGTAACTCTGACTCCTGATGCTGTTGAACACTGCTTTAGCTGCTGCTGCTATTCTTGCTGTATGCTAGCCAGCAAGCATCTCCTGGGAAATTCCTTAGAGAGGAGTCCTCTGCAGGTGCTCTGGCAAGAGCTAGTGTGAGAATTGAGATATCCATGTTGGCATTGCCATGATTTATGATGAGAAATTTTAAACAGTAGTCATTCTTCATATGTTTGGGGCTGTCTTATGGGAAGTGAGTGCTGCTTCAAATCTGTACTATTTGGGGACTTGTTATTTTGAGGAAAAGAAAAGATAGCATTAGTAGAAAAATCCCCCTCCTCTAACTAAAATTTTAGAAGATACAAAATAGAAAACTATTAAAACCAGTACCTGAACACTCTTCTTACTTAATTGGGTTAGTTGTTTTGTGCCCCAGAACATAATCCATTTGACAAACTAGTAAAGTAAATATTAATCATTAGCAACAGAATTTTTGTGGTAATACAACATTCTCTTTAAAAACATAATTGTTTTCTTGGGTCAGACTGCAGATCCATCTATCCCAGTGTCCTGTCTGACAGTGACAACTAGATGCTTTAGAGCAAGGGTGTCAAAGATACAGCCCACAGGCTGGATCTGGCCTGTGGAGCCCTGTCATCCAGGCCCCAGTGTGTTTCTGGGTCTGTTGACCCATGCCATACACAAGACTTGTGCTGGACCAGCCCCATGTATGGCCCAGGATGCACAGTGCCCGCTGCAATTAGTCTAGGATGCACACCATACATGATACCTGCTTCAGTCAGTTCAGGACCCATGCTGGATACTGTGTCTCCAGGTACCCTATGCAGTGTGAATCCTGGAGCAGGCACCATGTGCACAGAATTTGTCATGCTGGCAAGGTAGGGAGGCGGGAAGGTGTGGGAGAAGTGAGCACGATAGAAAGGAAGGACAGGCTACAACTAGATCTGGACAGGTTACAGGGGTGGGTGGATGAGAACAGGATGGGATTCAATACTGACAAGTGCAAGGTACTGCACCTAGAGAGAGAGAACCAGCAGCATAGCTATAGGCTGGCGAACTCCCTTCTTGTCAGCACAGAGGCAGAAAGGGATCTTGGAGTCACTATGGATTCCAAGATGAACAGGGGCTGCCAATATGAGGACGCAGTCAGTAGGGCTAACCACCCCTTGTCATGCATCCATAGATGCATCAGGAGCAGGTCCAAGGAGGTGATCCTCCCCCTCTATGCGACATTGGTCAGGCCACAGTTGGAGTACTGCATCCAGTTCTGGGCGCCGCACTTCAGGAAGGATGTGGACAGCATTGAGAGGGTCCAAAGGAAGGCCACTAGCATGATCAGGGAGCAGCAGGACAGGCCCTATGAGGAGAGGCTACGGGACCTGAATCTGTTCAGCCTCCACAAGAGAAGGCTGAGAGGGGATCTGGTGGCCATCTGTAAACTTAACCAGGGGGGACCAGTGTGAAATGGGAGAGACCCTGTTCCCCTGATCACTACCAGGAGCAATGGCCACAAGTTGACTGAGAGTAGGTTCAGGCTAGAGATCAGGAAGCACTACTTCACAGTCAGAGCAGCTAGCATCTAGAACCAACTTCCAAGGGAAGTGGTGCTCACTCCTACCCTGGGGGTCTTCAAAAGGAGGCTAAATAATCACCTAGTTGGGGTCATTTGACCCTAGCATTCTTTCCTGCCCATGGTAGGGGGTCAGACTTGATGATCTGCCCGGGTCCCTTCCTACCCTACCAACTGTGAAGGGGTCCATGGATCCTATTTGGCCAGTGGACCACTCCCATGGACACTCCTGCTTTAGAGGAAGAGGATAAGAAACAGGGCATGAGTAAAGTGATATCGTGTTGTACCCTCTCACTTGTGTTGCGATGCCAGAATGTTTTTACCTTTTGGAGAGCAGCTGAAAATACTAAATGCTTGTGGTAAAGCACAGAGAGTGATATCAAATTTCTTAATCCTTTATAATGGACATACATTTTGTTTAAACAGAGCTATTTTGATCCTTATCTTCAGATTATTTCAGGAGTCTCTTGGCTTTGTCATGGAACAAATGCGCAAGCATAGAATTAGCATTTTTCTGTAATGCTTCTGAAAAGTTGCTGAGCTCTCTCATAGTTTGCCTGTCTTCAGGTAGAGAAAAAAGAACAGTAGGAAAGTATTAAAGAGATGTATAGTACTAGAGGTGCACTGATACATCGGTTCAATATTGGATCAGTACTGATATAAAGACAATTGTTCATATCAGAAATTGGCTTGATGTGGGCAATAATTTGGCTGCTAAATGCCCATGAGTGCATGTAGCTGCAGCGCAGCGCCAAGGCAGAGAAGCTTGGAGAGCTGTGTGCAGCGGGTAAGTCTGGTGTGAGGGAAGGGGAGGGGGGATGGAAGTGACTGGTGGGGGCAGATCAAGGCCCCTGCAGTGAGGGAGGAGTGGGGCTGGGGCAGGGACTGGGGCAAGCGCTGCTCAGCTGGGGTGGAGCAGGAGCGGGACAGAGCTGCAGCTCATCTCGGGTCTGTGGGGAGGGTGGCTCCTGTCGCTACGTGCTGCTTGTCCGGGAGCTGCTGGTCTGGCACTTGCCTGCTTATCCAGCAGCTCCCGCTGCTGCTCCCGAAGCTCATCTGGGAAGGCATGGTGGGGAATGCCCCCAAATCTGCGCAGGGTGGGGCAGGCTGGGCTGGAAAGATCTGGAGGCACGTGTCCCCCCCCATGCCCTCCTGGACGAGCGGTGGGAGCAATGGCAGGGGGGGGCCGGGACCGCGGGCGGCGCTGGCCCAGTGGTGCGCAGCAGCAGGAGCCAACACCCCCCACCCTGCACCCCCTGGACAAGCCTCGGCTCCATCCCGTGCCTGCCCTGCCCTAGCTGAGCAACACTTGCTCCAGCCCCACTCCTCCCTCACTGAGAGGACCATGATCTGCCTCCCCACACCCCTTCCCTCCCCCCTTCCCTTCTACCACACCAGACTTACCAGCTGCGTGCAGCTTTCCAAGCTGCTGGGCGGGTACGGAAATTGGATCAGTATCAGCTGATGTGCTACTTCTTAAAAATTGGCTATCAGTATTAGCCCCAAAAATCTCTTATCGGTGTACCCTAAGGAATATTTAGTACATTGAAGAAGCAAAAAAACCAAATTATTTGAAGTAATGGTGGTGATTGCTAGTATCAAGGGGAGGAAGTTTAGGGCCCAAGATTGAATTTAGGTCTCTCCATTGCCACATCTCTGCCTTGACCTTCTGTGCAACCTAAGGAACTTAGAATCATAGAAAATTAAGGTTGGACGGGACCTCAGGAAGTCATCTAGTCTAACCGCTTGCCCAAAGCAGGACCATTCCCAACTAGATCATCCCAGCCAAGGCTTTGTCTACCCAGGTCTTAAACCTCTAAGGTTGGAGATTCTACAACTTCTCTGAGTAACCTGTTCCAGTGCTTTACTAACCACCTAGTGAGATAAGGGTTTTTTTTCCCCTAGTAATTACCTAAACTTCCCTTGCTGCAACTTGACTTGAGACCATTGCTCCTTGTTCTATTATCTGCCACCACTGAGAACAGTCTAGCTCCATCCTCTTTGGAACTACCCTTCAGGTAGTTGAAGGCTACAATTAAATCCCCCCTCAGGCTTCTCTTCTCCAGACTAAATGAGTCCAGTTCCCTCAGTCTCTCCTCTAAAATCATATGTCCTAGTCCTCTAACCATTTTTGTTGCCCTCTGCTGGACTCTTTACCAAGTTGTCCACATCCTTTCTGTAGACTGGGGGGGGGGGCACACACACTGGTCACTGCACTCCAGATGTAGCTTCACTAGTGTTAAATAGAGGGGAATAATTAGGGATCTACCTTATTTGCAATTTTGCATTTTTCGCAGAAACCACGGAAAGAAACCAGTTTCTGTGAGCCCTGTGAAAATGGTTATCTCCACAATTTTGGCATGGAATTGCCAGGAAAAACAAACTTAGTAAAAATAAAATGCGACTTCTGGAAGTGGCTGCAGCCGCTTCTGGGAGCGCCACAGCACTCCACTCCTTGGCCAGAGCTTGCGGGGGGGGGCGGCAAGTGTGGCTGGTCAGGAGGTGCACCGGTGCTCTCAGGGGTGCATGTGCACCCCCGGGCACCCCCTACACGTTGCCACTGACAATCAGGTTGGTCAGGCATGACTTGCCCTTGGTGAATCCATGCTGACTGTCCCTAATCACCTTCTCCTCCAAGTGCTTAGAAATGGATTCCTGGAAGACCTGCTCCATGATTTTTCTAGGGACTGAGGTGAAGCTGGCTAGTCTGTACTGGATCCTCCTCCTTCCCTTTCTTAAAGGTGGGCACTGTATTTTCCTTTTCCCAGTCATCTGGGACCTCTCCTGATTGCCGTGAGTTTTCAAAGATAATGGCCAGTGGCTCTGTAATCACATCAGCCAACTCCCTCAGCACCTACGGATGCACTGCATCTGGCCCCATGGACGTGTACACATCCAGCTTTTCTAAATAGTTCCTAACTTGTTCTTTTGCCACTGTTGGCTGCTCACCTTCTCCCCAAACTGTGTTCCAGGTGCACTAATCTGGTAGTTGCCCTTGCCAGTGAAGACTGAGGTATAAACAGGCATTGAGTACTTTGGCCTTTTCCTCATCATTTGGCACCAAGTTGCTTCCCATGTTCAGTAAGGGACCCACGCTTTCCCTGATCTTCCTCTTGTTGATGACATACTTCTTACCCTTCATGTCCCTTGCTAGCTGCAACTTCAATTGTGCTTTGGCCTTCCTGATTTTATCTCTGTACACCCAAGCAATACTTTTATACTCCTCCCCAGTGGTTTGTCCAAGTTTCCACTTCTTGTAAGCTTCCTTTTGTGACATTTCTGTTACTTTTCCATATTCTTTGTATTAAATTTGAGTTAAATCCTGGATTGACCCTGGTTGTTGTTCATGTAACACCTGTCACAAGGGAGCTTTGATCTTTGTCGGGGTCTCTAGACAATAGTGGTAGACAGATAAAAATTGTTTCAGATGTTGCATTGATTCAGATGTTGCTTTAGTGAATTCTCTCTGTGCTAATAAATTCTAGTAACAATTTTTTTCTTTAACTAGATCTGCTCTTTTGAAATGTAGATTAGGCCAGTGAGTGTTTCAGCTTCCAAAAAGCAAGGTTAGTTTAGGGATTTCCTAAACAGTTAAATTGAGATTGTGCCAGAACACACCCTGGTTTACCTTCTGTCCATCTTTCTGACAAACTGAAACTGACACATTATCCTTCATCTCAGTAAGCTGTTCATGTTGAGAACTGTTTGCCTATTAAAAGATGCTCTTTGCTGCATAGTACCCTCTGCTGCCTTGTATTTATATTGCAGGCAGCGGCTAGCTGGATGGAGCTGGTTTACCTGTGGTAGGGAGGAGGGGAGCGGGCCCAGACCCCAAGCAGCAGGAGGGAAGGGGGGAGGGGGCCCA